TAGGGAAAGCTGTTCTGAATAGCTAAGGAGACCAAAACATAGCTTAAAATCAATATTAATCTTGAGAAAACATCATTTTGAGAAGCATTTCCACTGTCATTCATATGACAGCTTTATTAAAAATAATCCCATCCAGTATATATTCAAAAATACTAGCGCAGGGATGGACTTCACAGCAAACTGGCTAAGTGTTTAAAGCTGCAAATTAATAACAAGCAATTCCATTCCTAAACAAATGAGGCCTGGTTTCCTATATGTTTACATCTTGTAAATGACTGTAAGCTCCGATTTCCCACAGTTGGATATTTTTGAAGACAATGTGGATTTTCTAGATTTAATAGCATATGAGCTGACAATATCTGTTCCCACAGTTGGGACACCTATAGGGTCTCCATCTTCCAATTAGCGTATATTTTCATAAACCTTCAGCAATTTAATTATATTTTAGACTTCTGCCTCTTTGAGAAATTTGGAAGAACTCAACCCCCAAATTAAAAAGTTATTAGGGATACACAGATGTACAACAGATACCTTGTTTCCTGAGCCTTCCAAAGCCGCACAGCCCTCTCCATCGTCCTCAAAGACTGCTCATACTCATCCGAATCCCTTATTTCCATAATTTATCTGCTGCCTCTAGCTTCAACAAATGAGAATAAAACGAAACAAAACCCTTTATGAGGTCTTTGCAGCACCTATTCCTCTAGTTTGGAACTCTCTCACCAGCAACTTCTCTACAAAGTCTTTGGAAATATCGAATATTCTTTTCCTTCTGCTTAGTGCTAGTACTCTGAGACCCATATTCAGGTTTTAATATGGTATAGCACTTAAACAGGCAAATCATCAAATCAAATCAAAGTGGCTTACCAATTTACCTCCCATCAGCTCTAAAGCAATAACTTGTTAACCTGTTATAATTCTGTTGTGTGTCTGAATGGCACACGTATGAGTGAAGGTTATTTCAGAAAGAAAGGACAGACTAAAAGAGCAGCTTATATCCACAAGGAAAAAAATAGGGTAGACATTTGAGCAAACTGTTTAACTTTAAAGGCAATTAGGCAATGGAATGACTTGCCTGGGGAGGTAGTTTAGACAATGTAATGAGAAGCGCTTGAAATAGAATAAACTACTTGTGAGACAGATACAGATGTAAATAATTCTCCTGTGTTTTGAACTAGATGAATCAGGAGGGGTATCTTCTCCATTCAAATGTACGAGCATAAAAATTCTATTCTCTTTCCTTGGGAACACTTTCAAACTTACGAGTGTTTACACCTGTTCTGAATACTAACATGAAACCGCTCTCCAAAAGGCAGCTTAACCTCACTGTATCATTATAAAATAGATTTATTCATAACAAGCAGCTATGAAAAACTTTCAGCAAAAAAGCCCTTAGTCAGGGAGATGCACATTGTTGCAAAAATGGATTGTTTCTCTAAGTGCTTATATGGCCCCATCACTATAGTATCTGAGCGCCTTACAAACATTAATGAATGTATTCTCACAACACCCCTGGGAGATAGAGATAGTATTATTAGCTAATGCACAAAGAGTAGCTTGTCCAAAGTCACACAGCAACTCTGTGGCACAGCCAAGACTCAAAACTGTGATTTCCTGCCCACTGCCGTAACCATGACTGTATTATCCTGTCCATATACAGCATTTCAAAATATGTTAAAATATAAATTCAAATCTTTACACAACAGGCATCTCTGTTCAGCTTTAGATCCAATTGCTGACTTAATAAATAAGAATAACTTTGTTTATCAGGAAGCCTCATTATGGCAACAAATCTGCAGGTTACTGAAACGCTGACAGTTATATGGGCCATAATTGGTTCTAATATATGGGAGTGGTGAAAGAGAATTCCCTGATCATCACATCCAGAACATGAGGCACCACATCCAGAACATTATTTTGAAACCAGAATATTTTTCTTCAGTTGATGCAAAGATTTATATTATACGGAGGAGTGCCTTATTGGAGTATATTGTACCATACCTTTTCTGATCTTTAGCTTTGGATAAAAAGGCTAGCTATATTCCCTACTATATCCTTATTCTTTTCGGATATACTTTTTCTGAATAGAGGTACACAGTATTTTTCAGCTTTGATGGGACTAAATCTGGAGGAACGACCAGAATAAGTGTATTTACCCCAGAATCACAGAGATCAGAATTTGGCTTATAAACTGGAAATTTTAATCATGCAAATATATAAATTAATACAAGCACTCAGCTTCAAGGATGTTCCTTATATTGAAGGATAAATTTTCAGTCATTTAGAAAGGTCAACATTTTCATGAATTCAGAGGTTCAATCAAATGTTAACGCAGTTCTTCTGAATCAAGAACATAGCAAATTGTCTTTAAATTTGGTATGAGGGAAGCACTTTTCTCAAGCGCTAAACATTTTAAAAGAAGAAAACAGAGGATAACTGCCTACACAGTGGAGAAGGTATGATGATGTAGTGGATCACAAACTGAATAAATGATGCAAAAATATGATATTGTTGCAACAAGTAAAGTGTATTCAGGAATATATTGACAGAAACATAGACGTGTTTTCTTCTGTTCAGGCAGAATTTCCTGTGTTTCAATTTCCTGTGCCCACTGCCTCTCGTACATGAGACAAGAGAAGTACTATTTCCTGAGTATCACTCCTGAAGTTCGAACAACAGCAGTCTTTTTAGTTTGGGGCTCCAAGTTTTAAGAAAGATAAATTAGATCTGTTTTTAATTACAGCAACCAACATAGCAAAGGCAAACTACATTAGAAGCTAATTGAAAACAGCCCAGCTATCAGGACAGTAAAACGATGGAGCAGATTATCATTGATATGGAATCCACAATACTACTTTTTTTTTTTTTTTAAGAACAAGTTAAATAAATACATCAGCTCTCCAGGAAACTCTGTTCTACTATGCCTTATTCTTTTCTCCTTCCTTCTTTCCTTCTCCTTCTTTCTCTTCCCTTTTTTTCTCTCCTTTTCTTTTTCTCTCCCCTTCTTTCTTTCTTTCTTCTTTCTTTCCCCGGTTCTCTCTTGCCTTCTCTCTGTCCACTTCTCTCTCCCCTTCTTTTTCCCTTCTTTCTTTCTTTCTCCTTTTCTCCTGCCTTCTCTGCCCCCTTCTTTCTCTCTCCCCTTCTCTCCTTTCTTTCTCTCTTGCTTGCTTTCCCTTTTTCTTTCTCTTTCTTTCTCTCCTTTTTTTTATTTTCTTTTTCCTTTTCTTTCTATTGTAATTTCATTCTTTTTCTCTCTTTCTTTCTCTTTTTCTTCCTTCCCTCCTTTAATCCTTATCTCTCTTCTCTACATATACTTCTAAACTAACTGTGCTCCTAAAACCTGGTTGGACTGGAAATTCCTTAGGTGTCTACTTTTGCACATTAAGGAGCAGCCTGTCCTGAGGGGCAGACACCTATTCTCTATTAAAGTGCATAAAGATCCACATTTAGGTAAAATGTAATGTAAGACCCCAAGAGACTAAAATGTCATAGTCTGACCACAACCAACTTCATCAGACAGCACTGAAGTAATTGAAAAATCAGGCTGACAGTAGTGCTTACCTTTGGCACAAACAGCCTAGTGCTTCTCCAGGAAGTGGATTTTAGACCTGTTTTCTAGGCTTTCCTCTGTTTTACTACACAGTTGCTGATCTTTAGAACAGCAAGCAAGTATCACACCTTTGCTACAGGACCAGAAAACTGCAACAGCTCATTCCACCAGGTAATAAAAAGATTATGAAAATAGATTATATATTTGCAAAATAATTGGATTAGAAAAACATACACTCTTGTTATAAAGAGCTGAGGCGTTCATTTAGGTTGCAGGAATAGCATAGCATTTCATTTTTCTCTGATTCTTCCAACTCTAGGGCAAGATATTTTGCTATCTGCTTATGTTTGCATATAGTAAGACTCTGATTTGATATGATTAGTATAGATGGCTATAAAAATCAAATAAAGGTTACATGAAAAATAACTGGTGTCCCATATGCGTCCAATTTTGTCTCCTTTCAGTTCTTTTGAGAAACAGGGACTGGCTGGAGACAACTGGAATTGAACCCAACTAAAAGAGTAATGGGATTATGTAATTCCTAGTTCCAGGTGGGAGGCAGCGCTGAACCAGCCAAACAGGACTGGCGGAAAGGGTTCCAAGGGTGTTTCAGAACAAAGGAAGACTTTAGACCTCCAGGTACACTATTTGAGTATAACCCCCTGGGACTGCTTTCTGAAAATGCAATCAGATTGTATCATGCAGTTAGAACAGGTCGCACAAAAGATTCATAAAAGCAAGTAAAGGCACTGTTTGACAAGTCCAGAAACACAAATCATGGAGCAAAGTCCTCACCCGAGGAGGAGATGAACCTTTGTCTAGAAGGTAGAGGGAACCCGCAGACCGCTTTTCAGAAAATCTAGAAAAAAAGGCTACTAAAGCTAAAAGAGAGAACCAGACAGCTCCCTTACAAGATGTTAGTAGGCGCCTTCTGCTAGGAAGTTAGTGGAGTGGCTGGCCAAATATTAACACAAAAAGCCACATAAATGCCAACCTGGAAACTGATAATGAAGCTGTTGTTTAAATATGAACACACAGAGGTTGGCAAGCTGTAGGAGTGCCATCTAATTGTGATAGTACGGGCAATAACACCTGCTGTTCTACACAGGAAAAACATATAGAGGAATGCAGTTTTAGGCTTCTAAGTATCAGTTAAAATGGATGATTGCACTTAAAATGGACACCTACCATCCAGATAATCAGCAGTGCGAATGGCAATGGCTCACCAAACAAAAATATTATAAAATGCTGTTTGATAGTTGGTCATGAGTAGCATTTTGGCCATTTTACCAGGAGCTAACAGACTATCAGCAACATAAAGAGTTAAGATGTTAGAGAATGGCACAGGCAAAGCCATCTCTCTTGCGGAAGACTTGTTTCACTGTTTGCATTAATGATCTCCAGTTTGGCAAGTTAATTCTAAAAAACAGTCAGAGATCTTCCAGGAAGTGATTTTTTTGAACACAGTGTCTGTGCTTGACTATGGGAAAGCACACAGTCTTTCTGACTTTGGCTCAGAAAACAAGATTGCAACCAATGAGAAAAATCTCTGGAATTACTGGTAGGTATAGAAGCTCAAAGTGAAAACATGAGACTGCCTCAAATAGCCTCATTTACCAGGAAACATAGATAATTTTCTTCAAGTTCATAGAATCATTGATTCATGGAATAGTTGAGGTTGGTAGGGACCTCTGGAGATTAAGTCCAATCCCCCTTGTCGGAGCAGTATCAGCACGAGCAGGTTGCTCAGGACTGTGTCCTTTCGGGTTTTGAAATCTCCAAGCACGGAGGTTCCACAACCTCTCTGGGCAATCCGTTCCAGTGTTTGATCACTCTTACAGTAAAAAAAAAAGTATTTTCTTATGTTGAAATGGAATTTCTTGTCTTTCAGTTTGTGCCTCTTGTCCTGTCACCGGACACCACAGAGAAGAGAAATTTTAGGCAAAACTCAATCGTAACCACGGCAAAATGGAAGAAGTAGAAGTTGAAGGCAAAGTATTATGTAAGGCAAATTCCTGAGTCTTTCTTGAAAGGAAGGATACTTTATATCACATCTTGTATTCATTTCAGTGAATTACAAAAAAAAAAAAAAAAAAGAAAGAAAGAAAAAGCAACTAATTGCTCTGTCCGTGGTTAAAGAGACAACAGTGCTATATATAAACATGTTCAAATTGATGTGTCTGCATTTGCAATAATGTGTATAAAATGATATAGGATTGGATTAGTTCAATGTATAGGAACAACAAATACAATAACATAATAATAATAATCTCAGGAAAACATTGTCTATCCAATTGCTTCCATGCAGATGGTGCTACTACATTTTGCCAGATATACTCAGAGAAAAACAGTGAGTAATTCAATCAGAAGATGGGAACCCAATTGGAACCCTCCAGATTAGAATTTTGCACCTAAGTGCTCCACATACAGACTAATGATTGTGATCATTTTTCCATTTGCACCACAATAGATGTACTTTACTTGGAAATGTTAATAATTCAAATTGACTTAAAGAAGTGGGACAAAGAAACAATGCAATAACATGACTCTTAACATTACTGCACTTGCAGTAAAAGCTACAACAGGAAGGGAATACAAAATTATACTAAACTTAGACTTAACATACATTTAGATGAAATTTTATTGTAGTTCACCCAGTTTTAGTCATAAGTTGATGGACTTCAGTAAATTAAAACAAATACTGAAGACATTAAAAGATATCAAAAGAAGAAACTGAGTCCATTGCACAGCCTTGGAACCAAGAAATGCAGAAATAATGAAAATATTATAAAACGATGGTCAGAACCATTACTGGGCTGGGTAACCTACTTTTTCAGTTAAATTTTGCATTCTTTGTATTTGAGTTATATTTGGTGTATCCTAATATGATCTTGCCTTAAGTGTGGTTGTATGAAAATATTCAATATGTGTAGATAAGAACATTAACAGAAATTCAAGTGACATTAAATAGTAGGGAGCTCCTGAGAATAGCTAAACTGGAATAAAATTTTCTGAAAGGTAAAGAGACAACTTAGAGCAGTACTTATCTTCTCCCAAACCTATTGTGAGAACACTTGAAAAATGAGGTAGAGATTGTTAGATCTTTCTGTCCTATTTATGATAAAAAAAATGAAGCCTGGAATATGAAACAGCTACATTGTCACAAAATATATTTCCTTATGGTAAGGATATACACTTATAATATACTGATGGTATTGAAACCATTACTCTAAGCACAAGTTGCAACAGCACCTTTAGTTTCCCCTTTTCTGATCCTTCCAGTATTAAGGTAAGCTTTTTTTTGCTCTTTACTGAAAGTTAATGGCTTATGTTTAGGTATTCAATAAACAAGTTTTATTCAATTTGGTGAGTATGAATGATTCAGACTGATAACATCCACAATCTCAAATCACAAGACAGACAACAGTTTACGTAAACTTCTTGCAGTTAGGGAATGCTGGCTTTAGAACAGGAGATTTGATCTTTATTACTGAGCATTTTCAGATGATACTGCTTCAATATTAAACTAGAGAAGAACCAGCAAACATCATTCCAGTACAATGGTAACCGGGATCCAGATTGCCCTTGGTCTACAGCTTGCTAAAAAGAGAAAATAATGGCTATAGCTCTTCCCAAATTAGGAAAGGGGTTGCTTCCAATTAATGTTACACTCTCAAATTTCTGGACTTAGTTTAACAAATAATCATGACTATATCATGTCAAGCTTTGAATAAAGACCAGAAAGAACTTGCTTCTAATAAACAGCACTTTTGAGGGAAGTTTTGCTCTTATTTCTAACATAGAAAATGATTTCTAACGGAAGAGGGTGACAGAAGCAGTGTTGTTCAGCTTAACAGTAGTATCCAATACTAGCTGAGACAGTTGTCTACAGGCCAACAGAGCAAAGATATTTCATCCATGGGCTGTCACGTTCACAGAAATAGGGCTGCAGTCAACTCCACACGAATCCAGGCAATAAGCTTAGCGCATAGTGTATTCTTGCTCCAAAACTTCATACAGTATTTATGTTATAAGCCTAGTACCAAAATGACATATACCTGACTGTCTAAGAAGCAGAGATTTTAGAAAGACTGACAAAAGCCTGAACTAAGGCAGCTCACAGTGATTATTGCTCTATATCTCTAGATGACATTCTTACCACAAGGGCTATTTCATCATGGTAAATCAGAAGATTTTTAAAAGAAATGGGTAAGAGGTCATTTTACAGGAATAGTATCAGAATTATGCAAGGATCAGCACCAATCATTTGCAAGAGACCTGGAAAATATTGTTCACTTGAATGATTATTTTTTTTGCTTATTTTTATTGCTTTTATATAAGAAATATCTTCCTCCCTATAGAATGTACCAAGCTAAAAACTGTACCTGCCATCTCTACCAAAACATAAGCAGTTTCAAATTTGGAGGCCAATGGGTGCAGCCATCCAGGATTGGTCCACTAAAACAGACAGATGAAAATGTTACATTTCTTCTAAATGGATGTTCATTTTCTGTTGCTGTTTAAGAGTATTTCACAGATCTCTTTCTCCTTAGCCCAAGGCTCCTAAATGGCCAAAAGTTGGATATGATTCGATGAAATCTAATCTAGATCATGGAGTTCTGTAACTATACCATGCCATTAAGATTGTTCAAGCATGCGGCTGACATTTTGCATAAATGCAAGATTAGCTCAGTACCATAAATGAATATTTTTGTTTGTATTTTATTGCTATAAAATGGACCGAGTTTGAATTTAAGTAATATACTCATCGTGGAATGTTCAGGAATTGCAGCATTATTTAAAATCTGAAAAGAAAGAAATGAAATTTCCTTTTAGAAGTTTAAAATTATGATTATTAGCAATATTTCAATAATTAATCCTTAATAAACACTGCGATCAACAGAACTGCAATTTTCACTCATAAACTTCAAATATACAAGGCTAAATTTTGTTCTAAAATCTGTATCTGTAACAGCTCCTGCGGAAGCACAAGAGAGGCTGGGCCTGTATCTTTCAGCTGAGGACCTGGTCACAGAAGGCGTGATAAATAAATACTTATTTTAAACATTTTCACGGCAATTTGAGCAGAAACATCAAATAAGCTGTGGGCCATCTAGCACCACAGAGAGAGCCAGTGGCAGAACTAGATTAGAATTCTGCCCCTGCCAATCAATACATCATTCCTGGCCATTAATTAAATCAAATTCTATAATCATAATAAAAGATTTATTTTTTCCTCATATGCATTTTCTCACATTTATATGGCTGTAACTACTAAATTTAGTATTTATTTTCAAGATTTTACAGCAAAGTTTGTTTTCTTAAGGGTTTTTGTTTTGTTTTTTTTTTTGCTACAACAACAAACAAGAAAACAAACCTAAACCTAATGTTCTAGTTTGCTAGGTCTCCTCAGCATTTAAGACAGGAAACCTTTAGAGGAAGGACTTTATCACTGTCCTCATAAAGTGCAGGTTTGTATGACCTCATCTGCTACCATTTATTTGATAAGGAATAAGAAAATGACAAAACATTATTTATCAATAATATTTATTGTAAGTATAAATTTAAAAGCTTTTAACTGATCAGTTCTCGGCAATTATTTTATTCTAATCATTTCTGAAGTCTTCGTGTATGTATTATTTAAGGATGAATGCATCCTTAACACTGCCATAAGCTGTCATTTCAGCACCACAATGCAGCAAATTACGAATAATTGTTGTTCAACTTCAACTGCTTGACCAGCTGTTAACTAGCTTATTCATCGAGAAGAGCTCTGCCTTCATTTCCGGATTCTAAAGCTTATAGAAAGTTTAAAAGACACCAAAAGGTGAACTATACAAACTGAGATCTGAGATACACATATATAAAAGAACTACTTTACAATGGATTAGATGATGATTTATAAAACAATATTTTTATAAAAGACAATAAAGAATTTATATATATATATATAAATCTCTATCTGTGTTTGAAAATTCTGTCACAGTTACAAAGCAATAAATCATGGCAGCTCCATAATTTACAATTTGTTTGTGCATGCATAATAGAATTTCTTTAACTAGCCAACTAATTATACCAGCTAAACCCCACGTTACAAAAATGCATTGTTTATATAGGTGACAAACGTATTTAGTGTTTTCCTTCCAAAAATTTTAAGTGTCCACGTGTCAGAAAATTCCTTCTCTGTAAGCACTAATAGGAAGATCTGAGGCAACATCTGTGACGTGCTGCAGGACCTTGGCACTCAGTGAACGTGTTATGGAATAGAAAAGGAAGAAAAAACGATTCTTAGGCAGTAAAAGTACATCATAATCTACTGTTCTTTATTTGCTCAACTAAGCGTATACCTAACAAGAAGAGATAAAAAGTCCAGGCTTAAACCAAGGGCTAACTATGTGTTAAGACTCTATCTTGACCATAGAAAAGGTTCCAAAGTTATCACTCTCTTCTTGTTTTGAATGTTTCTCCTGATAAAAACTCCTGTACATTTCAGATATAATTGAAGTATAGCAATTAGGAAGAAACTTTGTTTACTCCTCATTGGTATAATGAAGTGATTGTACATGCTGTAAAATTCAGAACTCCATCTTGTGGTGATAATTTTAACTATACATTGAAAACAAATGGGGAGAAGAAAGAGAACACTGGGACGCAATCAGGGAAAGCAGGAGAAACTCAAATCTGAACTGTGGTGAAGAAATTCGGTGGAGGTTCACTTGGAAAAGCTTGCAAATTCTCTTAAGACGTGTGAGGCAAATCAAACCTATAGAATGTTTTATTCATTTGGGGAACAAATCTGCAAAACAATGCAATGCACAATATTCAGAGCCAAGACAGATAGGCTTCTATCACTCTCCCACTTTTTTCCACATTTTCTCTCAAGCCAAATGACTGAAAGTTAGTACTGTCACAGTAGGAGCCTTAATAGATTGAAAGTTATGTATTAAATCTGCTAAAAAGGTTTTGTTTGTAATTTGTGTGCTCTGTCA